CAGCCGCGGCTCAAAGAGAGCACGGGCGCAATGCAGCCAGCCTCCGGCCGGCAATTAGCTCGTGATGTACGATTGGGTATCCCAGCCAATCGACGCTGCGAAGCACGGACGTATATCAAACAGGGACAAAGGAACGGCTCGAGATAGCCTGCAAAGAGCCCAGGCATGCTGTACCTGCCATTGTCAGTCAACGTTCAGAAACAGTAAACGCTTTGTAAACTATGTAACGAATACGGGAGTGACGTTAGATAATACGTTGAGGCCGGTAAGTTGTGGCCATTAGATGCAGAAACGTCGAGAAATTTATGTGGTGCTTTCTCGAACACACAGTGTTTATAAACAAGTATATATGAATAACGTTTCAACACAAACTACTGGAAACAAGAACCTTTTTGTTCGTTTGCCAACGAACCACCTGCATAGCGAAGTTCTTTTTTCTGTGTTGATATGTTGGCGGTTTCTCCATGCATTTATTCATAATTATGTTTTCCCATTTTTTTTCCATTCTTGTTCCTCGCCCTGTGTTTCCGTCCGTTCAAAAAGTTCCGATCCTCAATTCTTGTACTGGTCACTCTCTTCACTAGGAGCCGTGAATCGCTTCTCCCTTGGAACAAGGAGTGGTATTTTTCTTGCTAGGTGCAACAGAATCCACCGCTATTAGTAAATAAGTCTGTTCACGCTACCATCTCTGAACGTCAAATTAGTTTATTCAAACTATTCATGACTAGTGACCGGATTTTTATGTAATTACATTTTATTGTCTTTCTGCTTTTCGTTCCCAAAACTGAAATCTTAGCAAATCGATGCCATCCTAACACAATATCCATTTTTCTCGTTACATATTTTTACATATTTAGTACGATATTACATATTTTATATATTATGCTATTTTTACTATATATTTTTTAACCTATGGATTTCCTTCCATTTTATTACACCTTTTTTTTTAGAAAAAGAAGTATTTCCACAAAATCAGAATTTTTTCCTACATTATTATTCAGTGCTGTCGAATCGAGATGCGTTTCGTTAAGACGAAGTCGGATGTTCTTACAGTTCGGTTCGCCTGCTTCAGTTATCCCACTGGCGGGAAGTGAGCGTCAGCTACTGAGATCATCTTCACCATTAGTATCACTGACGCCGCGTTTCTGGAACTTTATCTTTAATTTCCGAGAAACTTTGGTGATCGCCGACGAATAACAATTCAATGACAATGCGGTACGCTGCAGCGATTGTTTGCTGGTCGTAGATATCGCCAGTTTGTACTAGGGCTTCTATTGCGACTACCCTAGCTGCTAAACTAAGGTCCTGCAAATCACTAGATAAAGATTTTATTACAGAAGGAAAAATCTCATAAAAGTATTTTCGAATCAGGTTGATGTTTTCTTATAATTTGAGTATTTTAATATTACATGTTGTATCCGATTTTACATACTTAGTATATATATATATATAATATAAAAATGAATCGCAAAATGTGTTGGTAAGCGCATAACTTAACGCCAGGACCAATTTGGCCAATTCTTTTTTTTAATGTTCGTTGAAGTTCAAGAATGGTTATTACGATGAGAAAAATTCGAATAATTGCCGGAAAAAACCTAAAAACAGCCCTTTTTGTTTTCCTATAC